CATTGTAAAGACTGAGTCTATCCCTCACAGCCTAATTTCATTCGCATTAAATTCAATATGGCATCTAACCTGACTAAGGCCTATGCTTTTATTTATGAATATATATTAAAATAAAAAAGGTGTTTTAACTTGTAGCAATATTTTAAAATATATGAAGCCTTGGTAAATATAAAGTTCATTCAAAACGTATATAAAAAATCTTACCAACCCCAAACTTTTGAATGGTAGTGTATATATTTAAAAAGTTATTGTCCCTTAAAGCAGTCATATGATGTTGCTAAAAAGAAATTTTTTTTGTGTATTTGGTGTAATGAAATGTGTTTATGCGGTTTAAAGTTCAAAAAACACATTATTTTCCACATACTGTACATTTCTCCTCTATGCCTTTCTGAAACGCATCGATTTTTACAAAGCTCATCGGTCTGAAAAGCTATCCAGTGCGTTGTGATTGGCCAAATACCTCAAGCGTGTGATGGAAATGTTACGCCCCTTACCATACTGTGATGCCCTGTCCGGCTGGAGTGACGATTCAAAAACATGAAAACCCATTACAAACGAGGCATTTGTTGCATCCAGTGGGGACATAATTACTGATTATAATGACTTATACTGTCTTTTTACGCGTTGTGTTGCATCGTGCCGCGTAAACATAAAACCATGTCTGCATTTGTGATTGGAGAAATGACAAACAAGCACTACTCAAAACTCGCGTTTGAATCATCAGTGGCAAACCATTTAAATGAAAACGTACTTACAGTCTGTGAGTCAGAACAGCCGGCATTGTAGTCTACTCTTCCAGGATCAGTAAACAGTCCTCCATAAAATATGCTGCACACAAATTAATATTTGGGTTGAACTGTTCTGGAACAGTGTTGTAAATACAACTTAACCACTGATTTCTAGTCGTGTCCTCTTTTGGAAGACCAAACAAAGTAGTTTCGCTTTCACAACGAAACACACGGCGGGTTAGAGTGAGCGGCGGCCGGAGGTCTAGAGTGAACGGAGGCCGGAGGGCTAGAGTGAGCGGTGGTGGGTGGCCTAGAGTGAGCAGAGGCCGGAGGGCTAGAGTGAGCGGCGGCGGGTGGGCTTGAGAATGGCGCGGCCAGCGGATTTGACGAAGGAGCGGCCGGTGGGCTTGCGGCAACCACATGTGACGACCCCGGGCTAGACTCCGCTTCGTCCACGGTGAAAGCTGATCCAACGATCCACAGCGTGAAGTTGATGTATTCCCTCAGCGACCAGCACGGATCAGCTCCAGGCATGACGAAGCGGATATCGTCCTCTTTTGGAAGGCCAAACAAAGTAGTTTCACTTTCATAACGAAACACACAGCACCTTCATGACATGGCGGCAGCAACAATACTACAGCGAGAATAAAAGTTATGCCTTCTTTCTTTGTGTGAACATTTTGGGAGGCGTTATGCAAATCTTCCCACATCGTGACGTAGACATGTGGGTGCGTGTTAGAACGAGCCGTTTTAGGTAGGTGTGGTTGACTCTTAACTTTTATAAAGAATATCTCTTTGGATTTGAGACTTTAGTCTTTGCAACTTTACCAGATCTTCTTTATGCACCAAGAGCTTGTAACACTTCAAAGAGAAAGGAAAAATTGAAATCGCATCATATGACCTCTTTAAAATAGCTTTAAAGTGGTTACTTATTCTTAGTAACTTGTAGTGTATAGCTAACTACTTCAAATTATAGCTTCACTATAGTTTAAATACTTAAAGCACAAGTAGATTTCAGCTTGGAAAACTACAGTTTTAGTACACTGCTACTACTGGCCGAGGCTCTGCTATTATCAACGGAGAACACAGTAATTCACAGAGGTAAAGACTACCTTCCCACTGATCGAAAAGAGAAACATAGAATTGGGAGTGTTCTTCATCTCAGATGTGTTTTCCTCCTGTAACTGCGCAGGCTTGATATCAAAGAGAAGAGAATCCTGGGTGCAACAGGAGCTGGGATGTTGATGTTAATTCCTATGGTGTGAGCTAATCCTAAGAGTGCTGACATCCTTTTTCTTTATCAATCACACCATGTGGCTTGTACACATGCCCAGAGAAAACTTCACCGTCAAAGTTATTTCTTACTGTGGTGCTTTATCATGTGGTATGGGAGACAATGAAGACATAAATATCACCTGAATGCAAAACATCTTCCATCTAGATTAAAAAAAAAAAAAAGAGGTGGCTAGACTTGAAAACTAATGACGGTGTCATTCTGCACCACTAAATAATGGCAGTTTTCAAACAGGCTATCAAACTGTGCCACTGTTTGGTCAAACCGACTGCCCTGCCCCTAAACTCACACGAACATTTGGGCCAATGTTGTTTTTTAGGGTTGGGTTGTTCAAACAGAGTAATATATTACGTTAAAATTACAAAATTACACACTTAAGCTTTAAATTACATTTTAAAATATATAAATACATAAATAATGTGGGCAAATTGTTCTCGAAAAAGTAAATCACCAGCTACATAGCCATGTTAGAAGAGCTACACAATGTAAGAGGCAAGTCACAATGTTGAAAAATGAGGGTGGAGGATTACCACGCAACAATCCATCACGCTCCCTAAGGTTGCAAAACTGGGCTTTTGGTAGTACCTAGGATAGCAAAGTCCACTAAAGGAGGTAGAGATTTTTACGCAGCGCATTTCATTTCATTCATCATCAAGTGCACTCGTTCCTGTTGGTGTTGTCAATCTGGCAACCTGCGTGCGCGTCAAGTCTGAGGAGGAGGGGCCGGGTGAAAAAACCCCTCTCCAATATTTTGAATTTGGACTGCAATACCTAGTTCAACCACTCGGTGTCAATCCTACATAAAAGGTGGGGGGGGGGGGTAAGCGCTATCATTGTGTAAAGCACCCGCCGCTCGTTTCACAGAAATTTGTTTTCCTCCACGAATTTCTAAGAGTGGTATTGGGGAGAACAGCCAAACACGCAATAAGACAAATGTTTACGAAACGGCAACAAGGCCTCTCCATCATATCGACACGCAACTCTCTGAGGTCATGGAAATATTTTCCTGGTGCAAGTCAAAAAATAAGAAACATTTGAAGTGAGAAACCCAAGCCCTTGTCATTTGATCTCTTTCCCCCTTTCTTTCTTCTCTGTTGTTCCATTATGCAGGTGCTGGAGGCCTGAGGGTACGAGGCATCCGCGGGACTGTGTGCAGATGCAGCTACCCTGCGCATAAACACTACCAGACGTCCATCCAGCCCAGCTCTGCTCCACCGTATATTACTCACAGGCTTCCAATTTGGCCAAATCAACCCAACATGTTCCTCTATGCTCCCCGCGCTCCCATGAAAAGGCATAATCGTACGGGATATGTAAACATCTCGCAGCTTATGGCAGAGGACGGGAATGACCCGCTGCCGGTACAGAGGACAATGTGCAAAGTCAAACGTTATCCAGATGTTACGTACTTTGTTCTAAGCCGCTTGAAATGCTGTTACTGTCTGGTGATTTGTCATGAGTTTTGAGACAGTGGGAGTCATATTTACATACACTCATAGTGACCATATGAAAGTCTCCTTATCAACATTTCTGCTTTAGAACTAGGGGGTCAAACTGAATTTCTTTTAAATAGTCGATGCTGATATGTAGAATGACATACATAAGTTGCTGAATTCATCAGAGCAGCTGCAGAGAAAGTAGTGTGTTGCAAGTTACATATAAAGACCGGTTGTGCTTGATGAAGATTCAAGACCGGCCTGGTTTACATCCTAGTCCTGTTTTCCTTCTTTTTCCCTAATGGTGGTATCATTTTGGTTATCTGTTAAGAATAACCTAAAGAGGTTGCCACCATTTAGTAAACTGTGGACTAGCTTTGGCTCTTCCTGCTGACTTAAATGGTGATGTTTCCCATTTGTCAGTTGATGGCCTTTCATTTTTAACCAGAAATGTGCACGCTGCTTTTCTGATGTTCACTGAAGTTTTCAGTGTCTTTTTCCCCCGTCACTTGAAATGTTTCCGTTTTGAATCGTTGTTACCAAAGGCGAGACACGTGAGGAAAAAATAAACGATCAGTTGTGGGTTTATACTGTCATAAATTGCAAACAATTCATTGCTGAACTTTTACTGGAATTACTGGAAATGAAATGAAATTACTGGTTGATATGTCCTGATCTGAATAAAGTTTACACACACTTTTGGTCCGTGAATTAGATCTTGCTCGGGACGCGCGCTGTCTGTGGAGGTTTGGCCAGGACCGGTTCCAGAATTAAATCAACATATTTTATGTTCCGTCCATTGCCAATCACTGCTATTTCGAGAGTGAATCCCGCATACGTATGCAGAAGTCATTCCCAAAACTTTGCAGGGTGTAGCCTATGTGTTCGAAAAACTAAAGTTTCATACAAATTCTAAATGGATTATACCATAGAAAGTGTGCAAAGCGCACTCGCTTTATCACAAAAAAGTGTCACACATCTTCGTTCATCACGATCTTACAAAGTTCGGTTATAATCAATGAAGCTCTCTAAACTGCACATTGAATCTGTTATTTACATCGCGTCTGCACTTAGTCATGAGATGATTCACGAGCATGCAAAACTGCACTTAAAAACTGCCGCGCTTTCAGAGGTGAGTGAATTCTGACAAAACGTTTCTGATTGGTCATTGCGTTCAAGAAATCAACAGATATATCTGTGATTGGTTACATTGCTCAACGCTGCAAAAACACGGTGAGGGTATTTAGCACTTGGCTAAGCGATCCAATTGCAGCGGGGCCGCCATCAGGGATTCCATGACTAACAATGTCGCCGCGCACAGCCATATACTTTGGCCTTAACTAATAGAGCTGTGAGTACTTTGGACAAAAAGGCACAGGAAACACTGCCTTAATCAAAATGCAAAAAGTTACTAAAAGACAATAAATTAGCTGTACAGAAAGGACGAACATCTAAATTTACAGCCACTAATAATGAACAAAACAAAAACACTGAGCCATGAAATTTAAAGACAAATGACATCAAATTTAAAGGAATGCCGACCTGTGTGTTCTGCAAGCTGGGAGTAACGTCAGCAGCCCCCCCTCCACCTCCCCCTCCCCTCCCTTCATATAGTCTGTGGGGAAGGTCCCTCTGCAAGCTCCCGTCTACACTAGGGTCCACCGCACCTGCGAAAAAATAAAAGACACGTTACACCTTCAGCTTGAAATTAGAGTATCCTCCCAGGACCGCTCTCCAAACCAGAGTAATTCACTTCACACGCACACCCCTGACGATCTGACATTTTCCGCTCTACTGATGTATCCCGCACAGGTCTGGTATGGCATGTTTTGTTTGTGTTGCGCTGGGGAGTTTTCAGCGAGAGCGACATCAAATGCAGCCACCCTGGGGTGTCTGGGAGTAGAGACTCCTGCTATAACCCGCTTCCCTCTGCTCACAAACTGCGTCCTTCCGAAAGGTTATCATAGAGCTGCTTTGTTGCTCCTAATCCAAAATTCATTACATATAGCAGTTACCACACTTTAATACGATACGTTTCCTGAACGGCTGGGTGAGCTCCTTCACAGTTCGCTGGGAGGTAAGGACAACGTAAAACAGAGGGTAAAATGGACAGAGATGCTTTGTGAAATTGCAAAAGCATCATAAACATGTAGAGCGGTATGTCTCAGCAGCAAATCTAATTTACTGACCTCGCAACCGATCGCACATTGCCAGGTAAGCCAATTAAGTGCCTATTAACCCTGTATAAGTGATAGGGGTGGAGAATCTTTGGTTTCTTGGCATGAACGACCACCCTGTGACAGGAGTACCGGGGCCGCTTTCTGAGTGACAGCAACGGGAAGGTCAGCCAGTAATGTGCGGCATGAATGTGCAAGTGAGAATGACAGGGCCCTCTCATCGTACCCGGCTCGAATAGCTGCTAACTGGATTGGATGGCCGACCATCACATCTCTATGAGCATGATACACATATGTTCTAAGCTGACAAGAACAGGATCAGTGGATGACGATGTGCAGCAATGCCTGCGATGGAGCAAACACTGGAACACTGAGTCTCTGTTGTGCTGGTCAAATTGCAAAAGTAAGACATAAGAAGAAGAGCCAAGTTTCTAACTTATCCAAGCAGCTGTTTCAAAGCAGTTTTTTGGACCTCATCTAAACCAAGAGGGATCCACATCCTCACTGACATGCATATCATTTGGACATTTCTACCTTGCGAGTAAATTACTCACCAATGCGACTAAATTTTGTGACAGGCGACTAAATTTCTATTGATAGCAATTGGCTAATCAACTGAGTGAGTTAGATGCTAAGAATATGTTTTGCACAGATATATTTTCACTCACCTACACTTGAACACTCTATGCATGTGAGAGTTTCACTATTCCTATGGATGTGCAACATATTCTGAAGCATCATAAACTGACTTAGTATAGGTAAATGGTTCTTTCTTGTTGTTTTTTCTAGGGATGCACGATATATCGGCCACCATATCGGTATCGGCCCATATCGGCTCATTTTTTCTGTTATCGGTATCGGCCTGATAAGAAAATTTTGCCGTTGGATATAGATTTATCGGCCAACATATCGGTTATCGGCTTTCAAAAATAAAGAATAATCGGTTATCGGTATCGGCCAAAATTTTCATATCGGTGCATCCCTAGTTTTTTCAGAAATTTTCTGTTGCTTTGTTAAATCTGTTTGAGCGAACACAGACAGCATGATTAATATTCATTAACCCAGGAGCCCATCAGACCTTAGTCAATTTTATAATATTATTAGTTGCAGAATTCACAGTAGTATTATTGTTTTGTTTGTTTTTTTGTTTTTTACAGAAATACTGAATGACAATATCTCAAGTAATAGTTCCAAGTAAAAGTTCTGTTTAATATGACATATGCATTCATACATTTTCATTCATACATGATTGAACTTTAGAACTAAAACATGACAATCTTAAAAAAAAAATTTAAGACCGATATAGGTTTTTTGGGGCCGATACCGATACCAGGGAGTAAAAAAAGGCAGATACTATTCTTTGTGTATATTATATTATAGTACAGTACCAGTACTTTCCCATTCGTGTGTCCAAACATTTGACTGGTACTATATATAGAATACAGTATAAACATAAACAGAATATATATACATAAACACATTTTTTGCAATGATCACTCAAATGTGGTGATCAAACACTTATAATGGTGACAGGAGATATGTAAGGGCATTTAACAATTTAACAATAAACTTGCGATGAGTGCGATGCACAAAGTAACGAGGTGTTAGTTGTAAGACACGTGGTTTGAATATTTATTTTACCATAGTAACATTTAAATTCTGGCTTAAGTAAATTTTTTATCTCAGTTTTTATTATTCATTTAAAATGAGACAAATCTGCTATTATTTTAATCTCCAATCTGTTATTTCAATGTTTAATGTTTAGAAATTATTATTTCAAGACATGTAAAGCATGTTTGCTCGTTTATGTGGGCCGTCCCAAGCATGGTTGCAATCAAACTCCAAAATCAGATTATTTTTAATTCTTAAAAAACACCATAATTCTTATTTGGAGACCTCCTTACTGAAGTGAAAGTGTTGACTGGTGTCACTATCTTGCGAACGCGCGGGCGGATCTCCACCAAATTCGGGGAATTCCTTCAGCTCGAGAAGCCCTCTCGAACGCCACCCTCCGCGCGTCGGTAGCCCCCCAGGGATCGCTAGATCGGTCGGCGCCGGACCGCGAATTTAACCACCCGTAACTCCCGAACCTCGAATGCCATCAACGCGGCGGTGGTCTCAATCGAGACGTACACTCGATTCGCGTTCGAGAGGGTTCCTCGAGCTGAAGGGATCCCCCGAATTTGGTGCGGATTCACCGCGCCGTTACGGAGATATGACCGTTCAAAGTTTCAATGGTTTTCCATTGACTTAATCTTTAAAGCGTTTCATCCAGGTCGCCAGTAGCAAACAATGGAGCACGCTCTTCTGGTCAAACTAAGTAATTACACCATTTCAAGCATTTTATCTGCATTATATGTTCTGTAAAAAAAAAAATTCATATCGGTGGCATATCGGCGGCATATTCGCCGATACGATATACCGGCGACAGGCTCATATCGGCCGATAATATCGGCAAAACAATATATCGGTCTGGCTCTAATATATTTAGAAATATTTATTTACTGGCCAATGGCAATTTGATTGCCAATGTGTGTGTAGAGGGTTGACTTCTTAAAAATCCAAAACTTACATTGAATAAGCAGTTTTGAGTCATAATTAGGGACCAGAATATCACTTGTGAATGGGTTCTTTGACTTTGGCCAACTAGCAATGACCTACTAAACTACCAAAACACCCTAAAAACCACATAGCAACATAGAAAACACACTCTGAACACAATAGCAATCACAAAGCAACAACATGGCAAACATCTACAACACCCGGACAACATGCCAACAACTTTGGATGGGTAGGTGAACTTAAATCATAAACCAATATAAATAATCAGTGCAAGGATTCTACTTTAGCAACTACTTTATTCTTTGTGCAAGTGGAACAATTGACCATTTTACAGAAACACAATTAGAGGCTGTGAAATTAATACATGCTTCATTCCAGGGGAGGAAGATTGCCATTTCTGCATATTTGAACCCACTAGAAGGCAATCACTGAAATATGCAAACATTCATGAGAAAATAAATGTAGTGGAAAATTTGGTGCATATCTGCAATCAAGTTTCATGTGCAGATCTAGGAAGAAAGAAGGGAGCTAAGGCAAATCAAACTGATATTGAGTATCAACTGTTTCTCAATGAGGTTTCAAAAAGCCCTCAAAAACATGCTTGAGTAATAGCATGTTTCAAAATGAGAGATTATTGGAAGTGTCAATACAGTTACTGATACGGAGAAAACATCTGCATTTGCTTTTAAAATGTGTCGATCCTCTGCGATCACTCTTTAAGAAGTGCTATATACAAGTCATTTTCCACTCACAAGCATTGGAAAAGTGCCTTTCAACTGCTTTCAGGCCTGTTCTGACAAATTCATGGACAACAATTGGGAAAAAACCATACTAAACGCATAAAATAGAATGAAATTAACCATATAATTATCTTTTATATAGCCCAGTATTTGCCAAAGGGATTTCCTTGCATTGAAAGAAACAACAGTAGCATAATATTTTTTCATTTACACATGATATCCCTAGACTTTATTCAAACATCCATGTACTCTTCAACCTTGCACAATTCCACTGATTTGCTTCAACCCTTCAAAACCATGACCTTTCTCCAACCTCTAAATGCTGTGAACTACAGTAGACGACACGCTCCTGCATGCATGTAATTCTCTGCATCCAAAAATTCGGGCATAATTCTAAAAGAACCAGTTATTTTCACATAACACACCCTCAATTCAATTTAAACAGACTACTAAATGTTGAGTCATGACATGCAGAAAGAAAGAAAAATCAATGCAGCCAGCAGTGCAAACAGTTGATAATTGCGAATGGAAGTAGGGGGTGGGAGTGCAAACATCATTTGTTAAGGTGAAACAGTACAGTTCCACACTACAGACAAGAGTCGGGTGGCAGAACCCTGCCAAAAGCAATAATTGATCATTTACATGCAAATAGAGAAAGCAAAAAATGAGCGTTTTGAAGTGCCGCGTCGCACAGGCATTCAGCAAAATCAATTCTCACTCTGAAGGAACCGTTTTCCTCAGCCGGAGATAATGTGCCACACTATGGGTTGTCAGATACTTATCAGAGGGAAATTAGCTAAGGAATACTCCCCCCCCCCCCCACCCCACCCCCCCCGAAAACAAACAAGTCCAGCGGTCCACCT